GATGTTTTGTTTGTTGTGGCTAAAAATAGCCTATTTTGTCTTTTGTGGCTATTTTAGCCACAAACTATCTTCCCAAACGGACCCGAATGGAACTCAAATTAGTTTTGAATAAGTTGAGCTCGAACTTTTCATGAATAACTCTATTTGTTTGCAACGCTACGAACATGTACTCCTCCATCTTATATACATCAAATTATATATATATATATATATATATATATATAATTAATAAGAGGGGAATAAGGATAAGCAAACTGAATTGATAGTAATACAACTCAAACTTAGACATCATACCTGATAAGGGAGTGCCTTATCCACTAGTTAATTAATACGCTAAAGCTATGGATGAGGGGCTGTTGTTGTGCCAATGGCACAACAATGACTGTTGTACCTCAATTTGAGGCTCATTATGGGCTTATTTTTATGATCCGAACTGTTCATTTTGTAGAACTCGTCGAGTACTTCAAACATGCCAAAAATCATATTAATCGGATATCGCATGTCAAAAATCATATTAATCAGACATATGATCGGATTACATTTATTATAAAATAATAATAATAATAATAAGTTTTCTTTTGAGAAATAGTCTAAAAAATATGTAGTTTGATCATGTAGCTATCGATATCCGATCAATATAATTTTTGGTATGCACGAAGCACTTGATGAACCTTACAAAATAAACGGTTCAGATTATAAAAATAAACACATAATAAGCCTCAAATTGAGACACAACACCCCATACCCTGAAACTATGGGGTTAGCCTTAAAAGTAGAGCTGTTAAATAAGAGCTACTCAAGTATGACTTGTATTTGGCTCATTCAAGATCGGTTTGATATGTAAACAAATTTAGTTTGAATACATTATAGAACTCGTTAAGTTATCAAACTAAATTTGAGCATCTACTTCTTAGTTCGATAAGCTTATATCCAACAAAAATTCAAAAATAAAATAAAATCAAGTAACTCGAGATCGATCTATGTTAGACTTATTAAAAACTCATTTGAGATCAACTTATTATATAAACAAGTCAAATTTGAAAATATTTTAAAACTCATTAAGTTCTTAAGCTAAACTTGAATAATTTAATACACAACTAGTAGCTGATTTATAATTTTACAAAAGAGGGAGTCAAAAATGAAATATTTAACTAGCGGCCCAACTTCCGAGCTTCATTCTCCTAATTAATCGGAACAAACGAACTAATTGATTAGCTAATAGGCTAGGCTTCTCCAAATGCAAATTTGAGGGTGTTATTCGGACATATAGACCCATCATAGGTTAATTTCAATGATTCAAATCATTTATTTTGTAAAGTCCTTGACTTTTATGATCCATGAAAAAAATTCTCATAACCGTAACCACACAATTCAAGTCCAATATATCAATCAATTTCAATTTAAAAATCACTCTTCTATTATTTTTTTCTTAACATACTATATGCATTAGTTATAATATTGAAATTAGTCAATTACTCTAACCTTGTGTTGAGATTTTCCAATTATAGTCACCATTGACGGCCCAAAAGAAGTACCCGCGAAGCCCAAGGGCTTGAGCAAATTTTATCTTTACTATTGTTGATTTGGTATCATCGTACCCAATCCATGAAGTCCCTGCTATAGAATACGTGGACACCGTCTCCATATCATACACCACCGCGACATTATTCACCTTATTGAATGCCTCCACCATAGAGTATGTCAAGACACCGTCCGATCCAGGGCCCACGCCGACAGCTGGAGCTCCAACATCGTGTGATCTAGGGTCCTTGAGCTGCCACGTTCTCCCATACAATGGTAGGCCCAAAGGGCTTGAGCAAATTTTATCTTTACTATTGTTGATTTGGTATCATCGTACCCAATCCATGAAGTCCCTGCTATAGAATACGTGGACACCGTCTCCATATCATACACCACCGTGGCATTATTCACCTTATTGAATGCCTCCACCATAGAGTATGTCAAGACACCGTCCGATCCAGGGCCCACGCTGACAGCTGGAGCTCCAACATCGTGTGATCTAGGGTCCTTGAGCTGCCACGTTCTCCCATGCAATGGTAGGCCCATGATCAACTTGCTAGGAGGGAGCCCAGCCGTGATCCATGATTGAAGCCCATAACTCGTGCTCACATTACTTTTTGGGTCGAACAATGCAGCTTGGGCCCCCGTTGTCGAAGTCTCCCATCCTCCATGGTAATCGTAACACATCGCATTGATCCAGTCCAAGTTCTTACCAATCGAATCCACTGGGTACGAGCGTTGGACATCGTAGAGGAAAAAGTCCACGGAGAAGTACATGGCCGCGGTGAGCAAAAGAGGGGCCTGGCCCGTTGCTTTGGACTCTTTATGGACCATAGCCCGCCATTCATGGAGTAAGAGGCCCAAATTTTCCATTTCTTTTGGGTTTTGAGGAGATTCCCAATCAAGATCAATACCATTAAAACCAAACTTTCTTGCTACTTCTATGGATGACTCAATGAAACTCCTCCTTGAGTGACCACTAGATACCATGTTGGAAAAGATACTCAGGTCTTCGCCGGCTCCACCGATGGAAAAAAGCGTCTGCACTGGCGGTTTCTTCACATGGAGCGTAGAGGTAAAGTCCAAGAGCATCGAGGCTGTTGAATTTGAGATATCAAACTTGAAAGTGACATTGTTAGGTGAAAGAAAAGCATAGTAGATGTGAGTGAACAACGTAGTGTCGATGGATGACGGAGGCAAATCCGAGGCCCCTGAAGGCCAGTAAGCCCCTTTGATTACGTCAGATGGTGAGGTTGTGGCCATGGAACAAGAAGTAGTAGTAGTCAAGATAACAAAAACACACAGATAGTAGTAGTAGTTGTAGTAACACTACATGAAATAAGGGTTTTCACGACGCTTTTTTAACGGCGTTTTATGAAACATCACAATTTATAATATTTAACGTTGTTTTTTTAATATTAAAATGGCATTGTTTAAAATAAATATTTGAAGGCGTTTAGAAGCGCCTTCAAATGTCCTCTCTCTTATATAGGCGAGCTGGTAAATATCCTAGTCACTTATCTATTCATCGTTCAGTCTCTCTCTCTCTCTCTCTCTCTCTCTAAACAGGTGCCCTAATCTCTTCCAGTAGAATGCCCTAATCTCTTACGCACTCATTTGTTTATCGATTGATCTCTTGCTGATTCATCTTAGAATGATGCAATCTCAACGGATCGATTTCGATTTTGATTTCGAAGTTCTGTCTCTTGATTTTGATTTCAAAATTTATGTTTCAGTGATTCTCTCTTTCAATTTCGAAGGCTATTTTGAATCTGAGTATAAAGCCTTTGTAAACCCTTATTTTGAATCCTCACACCTTCTCTGATTTCGATTTCATCTGAATCTCTGATTTCGATTTCGATTTCGAATCACCACCGACACCACCATCACTAGTTTTTAATTTCTCACTAACATTACACTGCATGTTGCAGCCTGTGATTTATATGCTTTGATTCGCCCCCAATCCAAGATTGATCCAGATGAGGTTAGGGCCGCGCTAAACAGGTTGTGCAAGATCAGCGCCGTCTGAAGATTGGTCTTCCTCTTTTGGACTCTTAAAATGAAATAGATCAGGATAACTATGGATGACAAACTTTTAGTCTACAGGATGCATGTATAAATAAATATGTATGGATGGATGGATGTATGTATATAAATATTATATATGTATAAATATTATATATAAATATATATTATATAATATATATAAATATATAGTTTAGATTTACTAACCACAAAATATATTACTAATGCTACCTAATTTGTTTCCACTCAAGTGATACTGTTAATCTTGGAGGGCCTTATTTATTGCTTTTGTGCTGCTTACCAGGGTTTTTTTTTCCTTATATGGCTTTCAGAGGAAAAACAGAAGAGTATTGACATTGAGAGCATCTCATGAGCATTTTGGATGATTAGCCAAACCTTGCAGAATTGATAAGAGGTATGCAATAATGCTAAGTCGTTCCTCTTGCGCAATATTTTACTCAAATTGTGTTTTATGGCACATTCACTAATATGGATGGGGACTTACAGAGAAAATTGTGGCGACAAAATGGATCAGTTACTAAAAAGGTGCTTTTGAAACTTACAATTCCTTCAAAAAAAAAAATCCTTACTCTTTTTTGCTGTCGAAAGCTACTTTGACAACTATGGAATCATTCGAGATATAATGCAAAATCATCTCTTGCAAATACTAGCACTTTTTGCAATGGAGACACCTGTCAGCTTGGATGCAGAGGACATTAGGAATGAAAAGGTAGACATTCTCTATACACATATGAGATTGCAAAATGTGTGTTGGTTATTATTAATTTTTTTCCCCAGCTATGGCAGGTTTCAATTGCTTTTAATAGTTGTCCAAAAACTCATCTGCAAATATGGTAAATAATGACAAATCAATTTCTCCACCCATGCCTCCCCAACCCCTATCTTAGATGCACTTTTTGGATTTTTTGATTCCATGGTATTTATCAAAATTGGTAACTCTGGGGAAGTAAGGTGAACTAGTTGGCGGTTTCATTGTAGGGTTTGAAGTGCATATGTCACCTGGTTCTACTTGAAAAGAACAAAATTTGATGAGGAATTTGAAATGAACACTTGTATTAGTATCATAGGTTTGGTCGAAGTAGTTATGAAATTATGGAGATTGGACACATAGCCATGACATTTTGTATAATGATAATCTGCTACTTCTCATACATTTTATGAATGGTGATAAATCCTGACCTTTTTTTTTTCCCCTGACTAGATCTAGTATGTATACATGTTATTCAAACAACAACCTTTATGCATGCTAGATGTATTTTTTGCACCAGATTTATATTTTTTCATTTTTTAGGATTTGTTATATATTGTGGTGTTGTTACTTATCCTAAAAAATATCTAAAAAATATATATAGCGGTGTTGTTTTTAAAGGTTTTAACCTTCTTCATCTATTGATAGGTTTTTGCTGTAAAAAGTGTCCTTCAGAAGCCAATAAGTTTAATTCAAGGTCCACCTGGCACAGGGAAAACTATGACTTTTGCAGCAATTGTATACCATATGGCCAAACAAGGCCAGGGCCAGGTAAATTCATTAGCATGTATTTCAATTACTAAGATCTTGTATTTGATTACATGCCTTTTGATGATTTGTTGCTATCAGGTTTTGGTTTGTGCTCCAAGTAATGTGGCTGTTGACCAGCTAGCTGAAAAGATCAGTGCAACAGGATTGAAGGTATGCATTGTTTGGTTGATCATAAAACCATATCTACAACAATACTAGCTTTGGTTATTTTATTTTATCATGGTACTTAAATTGTTTGATGCATTTATCTAGTTTGTGTCAGGCATGTGTGCATAATTTGTTTGGCCACTTGCTGAAGTCAATGCTGCAAATGTGCTGAGCTGAGCCAAGTACCTGGCTATTTGGGCTCTGCTTTGGCTTGGAGAAAAAGAGATTCTAAATGTTTTAGAATTTTTCCAAATAAGGGAAAGAATAAGAAAGACCACCCAAAATATTGATTTGATGGCATTTCTTTTGTTGACAACAACTTGCTGCTCCTTAGTGTGTTTGGTTGAGAGTTTTCCATGTTAATTTTTTTTTTTATTGCCTTTTGCTTCACCCACTGAAAAAGAGAGGGTTGTATTCCAAGGGTTTGTAATGCTTTCCTTCTACAAGTATTTTTACTTGAGCCATTGATCTTTTGGCTTTATTTGTGTGGTATAACTTTTGGTCTATTGTTCAGACAATCATCTTCCCAATCAACATTAGTCTATTCATGTATTTTTTTAACATGAGGACAAATGTTGATTTTCCGTTTGAGATATTTGATTTTTCGTTTTTCATTGATGTGAGATTTTTATTTTTTTTTTAATTAAACCAGGTTGTTAGGCTCTGTGCAAAATCAAGGGAAGCTGTAAGTTCTCCCGTGGAGCATTTAACTCTTCACTATCAGGTTTGTTTACTTGTTAATTGGTCAAATATTTTTACTCCCATTTAACAGATTTCCTTCTTTAAAATGCCACCAGCCCATAGAACATTTTTCTCTCTAACTTGTCTCTTTTCTCACTATCAGGTTTCTTTAAAATTCCAGTTTGCAGGATTATTTTTCAGTTGAGTGGGTTGCAACTTTTCAAAAAACATGCCAAGTCATCCTTTCCAATGTTTTTCTGTATTGTGTTTTAGCTGAATTATGTTTTGGTTGCTAATCTGTATATATCTTGCTGTTTTCTTCTTTCAAATTTGTCATGACAACCATTGCATGGGACTTTGTGTATGTTTTTTTGTCTGTGTGGATAATAGAATTATTATTTAACGCATCAGAAATTCTGCCTTGCAACTAACCCGACTAAAGTGTTCTTTTATGTTTATGGGTGGGTGCATATTTAAACTTGGAATGATATCTGTTGTGACCTGGATTTGTGTTAATGGAGCTTTCCTTTTACATATACAGGAGAATTATCCAGCAGTGATGAGAAGAAATATAAAGCTCTGACGCGAGCAACAGAGAGGGAGATATCTCAGAGTGCTGATGTCATTTGTTGCACATGTGTTGGTGCTGGCGATCCTCGATTGGCTAATTTTAGATTTCGCCAGGTTGGTTTGTGAACATTTTACTGTCATAAAGGATTGCCAATCTTTTCTGCTCTGGTTTACATGATTGCTTTCAATCTGTTTATAGGTCCTTATTGATGAATCTACTCAAGCAACTGAGCCCAAGTGTCTTATTCCCTTGGTTCTTGGCGTGAAGCAGGTAAACAAGTCTTTATATGCTACTTTCTAGTCTATTGTTATCTGCTTCTTTTTCTGATAATAGATTTCTCTATTAGGTTGTTCTCATTGATGACCATTGGATAATAGATCTCTCGCTGATTCACATAAATATGAAACCACACCCATATAAAAAGTTTAATAAAAAATTTAATAAACTATTTAGTATCCTAGCATGACTCATTAATTTTTACTCCCATTTAACAGATTTCCTTCTTTAAAATGCCACCAGCCCATAGAACATTTTTCTCTCTAACTTGTGTCTTTTCTCTACTCAACATATAAGTAATTGATGACAATGAAAATGAAAACCCACTAAGAGAAGAGAGAACAGAGAAAATTCAATGCACAAACTTGAGAGTCCATAGATCAACAACACACATGTCAATGGCAGAGCAACTCAGCGTTGATCGCATGGCTTGCATGCGAGTGTCAATCGATCCTTGTTCTTGCTGATGGAACAAGATCACACACAGACAAATCAAGGAGTAAAAAAAAAAGTCAGCCATGGAAGCTAAAGAAATTTAGGAGACTTTTCCATTCTCTGAGTTTCGGGTAACATTTCTCATCATTGAGTTTAATTCTTAAGATGATTTACTTTTTCTGATTCTCTATCTTAAGTTCTGAATCTGTGATTTGCAGTGGAATTTATCTAATTTGGTCATTATGCTGAGGAATAGATATAGAGCAGTGACGACCAAGCAAGCTCTAATGGCGGACCAGAGCTCTCTAGCTTCTCTCTCCCCAAATCACACCATACCCATTTCTTCTTTCTTTGGTTCTCCAAGGTTTTTCAATGGGTTTCAAGCAATGGGTCACTCTGAAACTGAAACAATGAGTCCTATTCCTAGTTCAATTCATGACATCAAACCATTCTCCTCTGCTGGCAACCAATTCCCCAACAATTTCTCAGGAAACAAACACTCCTGGGAAAAATTAAACCCGAAAGGCATTGGTCTTTCATAGTACTTGTATGTATAATTAGTTTGAATTGCATCTTTTCTGCCAATCTGTTTTGTAATAGCTTTCAACTTACCACTAGGCACTAGTTTAATTTTATTTCATCTTGGAATTGAAATATTTTTGCATATTGAGAAGCATGAATTGATCCAGTATTATGTTTACCTAAATTTAGTCAATATATTGAATATTTTTCATCTTTATTACAGGTATTTTTTTTAGTTAAATCTCACAAAATTAGCACAATTTTTTTTTTTTAAAAAAAAAATGAAGCTACAACGGCGTTTTTAAACGCCGCTATAGAATTTTGCCAATGATTATATTTTTTAAATAGAAAAGATCTATCACGACGTTTTTAAAACGTCGCGAAATGTGGTCTAACGTCACTGTAGCGTTATGCAGCACATTTGGTGGCGTTTTCAAAAACGCCGCATATACTAATATAGCGACGCTTTTAAAGCGTCGTAAAGCTACAGCGACGGCTGCATCTTCGACGTTTGGTACTAAACGTCGCAAAAATAATTAGCGGCGTTTTTGATAGCTATGGCGGCGTTTTTTAAACGCCACTGAAAACCTAATTTCCAGCAGTGTAACCTTTGAAGTCTGCCATTTTTTTTTTTTTTTTTTTTTGTGTGTGTGGCTAGTCAATGTAGTACTCACAATACTATGGGTTTTTGAGTACATACATAGAGAGAGAGAGAGAGAGAGAGAGAGAGATCAAAGCATTCATGCAATAAGGCAAGTGGGCATTGTTTTATAGAGATTTTTGGAGTGTTGTGTTTAGCTATGTCTCGTAAGAAATTTTGGATATAGTTGAAAGAAGTTGACAACATTATGGTGTGAAGAAAATGTTGGCTTGACTAGTATTGATGGGTTAGGTTATAGTTTATAGTGCTCCAATTTGATTTTTATTTTTATTTCTAGAAAGCCGTCCATCACTAGTGGGACTAATTCAACATGGTGATCAACCAAAAATCAGTATGGATAATGCCCTATGTAGTGGATGACAAAACAACGCCCATAGACAAGGTGAAATTAGCTCAAGGTAAATAGTTTTTTCAAATTGAAGTATTAAAAAATCTATAGGTAAATAAATAAATAAAAATTTGGGACAATTGGTGCACAATGATGACAGGAAAAGTTAATTAATAATTTTAAAATATTTATCATTATTTATAATTTTAATAATTAATATTTATCTTTATTTTGTAATTTTTTTTTTCTTACATCCACTGTGGTGTAGTTTCTCTGAAAAGTTTAACGTCATCAAATATGTATTTTAGACTTTAGTCAAATAAGAAACATGTAGAGCAATCTCTCTCATTGGATACAAAAAGATCATTTTCATTTTATTACATCGTCTCCAATCCTTACTCATATATTTTATCAAATTTGAATTTGATAAAAAATGTTTACTTTTTAGGCTCTAACCGTGTCATCAAATTCATATCAAATGAAGGAAAACCAAAATTTTCATCAAATCAATGAAACATTTATCCTTTTAACAAATTTCGCAGATAACCATTGGTGGATGACTGGGTGGACGATTGGCCGGACAACCGGATAGACGACCGAATTGAAAAAAATTTGATGAAAATTTACTCTATATTCGATGACCGACCAAATTTAATGAAACAATTGGAGCACATCATATCATATCAATCTTTTATTCAAAGTTTTACTAGAATTTGATGAAATATTAGAGATGCTCCCAATCAAAACAACAAAAAGACCTTTTTATCAAAATATTTTAATTGTGAAGGTTCGAAATGTTATGAATTTTAATAATATTATAGTACACCAAATAAATGGGTTAATTACACTAATAGTTCCTATAGTTTGGGGCTTGTGTCAATTTGATCCCTGACTTTTTAATTGTGACACATTTGACATTGAATTTTAAATTTTGTTCCAAATAAGGACAATTGAAAATATCATTAGATTTTTTAAGGATAAAATCATCAATTTGATAAAATATAAACTAATTTGACAAAAATAAATGTTAAAAAAATATTTTTAATTTTAAAAAAATTATTTTTATCCACCAATGATAAAATTATGTAAAATTAATAAAAATTAATAAAAATTACATGATTAATTTTTTAAAATTAATTGTACATGATCATCATCCAAATACATAATAAAAATTAATTTGGTAAAAAAAATAAATAAATGTCTAAAAGATTTATCAATTTTACAGAATTTTATTTTTAGTGGGTAGAAATAGTTTTTAAAAATTCGAAGATATTTGTTTGACATTTATTTTTGCCACATTAGTTTATATTTTATCAAATTGACAATTTTACCCTTGAAAAATCTAATGATATCTTCAATTGTCCTTATTTGGAGCAAAATTCAAAATTCAGAGTCAAATGTGTCACAATTGAAAAGTTATGGACCAAAGTGACACAAACCCAAACTACAGGACTATTTGTGTAATTTGCCCAAAATAAGTTTACAATATAAAAAATTATAAGGAACTCTAATTAAAAATTTTACTTTAGACTTCAAATAGGCTTGAGATGCCCTTGGTCTAAAGGCCATCATGTGTTTTGTTATGACGATTTGATTCATTATTCATGTATATATTATTTGAAAAAAAAAATAATTAAAAAATAAAATTATTAATCTGATAATTATAAAAATACAAATTTATCATATTTGTCTTGAAAAAATATATAGTAATTATGATTTTGAAAATAAATCATTCACTTTTTTTATTTTTTATATTTTTTTAAAGACAAATATAATTCAATTTTATTTTGTTTGATGCATATACACAGACTTTCAAAATGAACATATTAGATCATTGAAGTGGAATCCGTGATCCGTTTACATACCTGGACTGGACGACTGTGGACTGGAAATACGCCATTTTTGCATATTAACTATATTTTAGAGCTTTGGACGGCAAGGCAACATCTTACAACATTAACCATAGGTACAAGTTAATTAATTGATCAGCACGGCTAAATCATCTTTAATTAGATTGTATTTTGATGGCGTGAACTATTGTGAACCCTTGAAAATAGGATCGTGTTTGATTGTGAACTATTGTGAACCCTTGAAATTATAAGAGCACATAGAATGAATTATAAAAGAAAAGAAGTAGGCAACACATAACTTGGAATATGATTCATGTGAACTAGGTGAATATAAGAAATTAAAACTAAAGCAAAATTTTCTTTAACTGCATATGATCACTCAATGCAACATATTCAAACTAGAGACGTTGAAATATCTAGTTTTTGGATTGTCTCTCATTTAGTTTTTCACTAAACGCTGTCCGTTTCCAGAAAAATGAAAATGCTGTAACAGCATCGAAGGACTAAAGAGGAATTCTGGAATGATAAAAGGAAATCATTCATGTGAACTAGGTGAATATAAGCAATTAAAGAAATAGGAATGTTTTAACCTAGGGCTATATGCCAAATTAAACTTCTACTTCATTTACAGTCACTTCAGAGAAGCAACTATCAGAAATATTAACAGAAACATTATCAAGGGACTCTACTTCTATGTGAAAAGAAATAGGAAAGCACAGCAAAAAGTCTCACAACTGGAGATGAAACACAGAGCAAAACTTTCTGTGTATCTTCCTTCCACAAAGTGACATTTGGCGTATACGCCAACACATCTTAGTTTGGTCTTTATTTAAATGAGCTTAGAATGATCATCAATACTTGGAAGAATTTACAATTCCAAGGGGTTGACCTGGTGGTCAAAGTTTGCGGTCTAGCGATGTGCTCTCTTCATGGTCTTAAGTTCGAAACTTTCTAAGTGCAAACAATTTTTGGAACCAGTACATAAGGGGCTTTGCCTAACTTTAATTGGGTTCCTCACTAGTGGATGGTAGAAGTAGTCTCCAAATTAGTTAATGAGTTTTACTACATCTCCCTATTTTATCACTCCCAATTACACCTCTAATAAGGTGGTAAACAATTTTAACAGGAGAGAAGAACTTGAAAAAAGTTGATTGGTTGGTATTGTTTTCGACCTCATTAAAGGTGCCATTGGGGGTGTGATAAAATGGGAAAATGGAGCATTTCTCTTTAATTAATTCTTAGACCAGATACCGAGTTATCCAAAAAAAAAAAAAAATTACTTATGGCATGGGACTATCAAAAGTGATCAATGGGAAGAGTTTGATAAGGCCAGAGATTCTGTGGGTTAGCTTACATGAGGCCTTCGATGACTCTTTCTCTATATGTGTCCAATAATAATTTCCAATTTGATTCTTCAATTGAAGTGTGCAATAAGAGTAGAAAATAAAATGGTTTCCTCATTAGAATATTTTCGAGATACATTTTCAAGGCTAATATAATTTGCCAGTCCATTCTTAAATAAAAAAAGAACTGAGTTTAGAATATGATAGTTTGTAGAAATGATGGAACCCAACAAGTGCTCCATGGTAAGAAACCTTAGCCCCTCACTCTATAAGAAACTCTAACCGTTTCCTTTCTTTTCTGTTTAGAAGAGAGTGGTGTTGCTAACCTTTCTCTTCTTTTTTTTGATCAGCAAAAACAAAAGCTTTATTGATGAAAAAGAGGCACAATACTGCATAAATTACATCAACAAAGAAGGAAAATGCAAAAAACATCATAGATAACCTCAAACACTCCCAACTAGGTTGGTACCACAAAGGAAGTGCAATCATATACTAGCACTTAACACATAAGTTTTCTCTTCTCATCGTTTCTTTTTCCTTGGTTTTTTTTTTTTTTAGTTGTTCTTGCGCCTTTTTTTTTTTTTTTTGATCAGCAAAAAGAAGAACTTCATTGATGAACAAGGAAAAAACAACAAAAAAGAAAAAAGAGAAAGGAGCAACAACGCAACAAGCCGAAACAAAAAAAAACAAAACCCAACTAATCTGGAACTGACGTTGGTGATTAACCAACGCAGAGTACCAGCCACACCCAAAAAATAAAAATAAAATCTAAACAGCAACTTCTCCTCTTTTTTTTTTCCTTGTTTTTTTTTTTTTTTTTTTTTTTTTTTTTTGATCAGCAAAAAGAACTTCATTGATGAACAAGGAAAAAACAACAAAAAAGAAAAAAGAGAAAGGAGCAACAACGCAACAAGCCGAAACAAAAAAAACAAAACCCAACTAATCTGG